TCCTGTTCTCAACAAATTCTGTTTTTTTTTTTTTTGGTGTAGCAGACGCATTAATTTCTCTCATTGTGTAGTCCCAGAAAATATCCATACCTCCCCCACAGAAGGGAATTTTTCTAAGTCCCTCCACCCCTCTGGAAATTCTGATTGAGCTTCATACATTTCTTTAAATTTTTTGGTCTGACAGAACCACCCCATCCCCAAGGAAATTCCAATCCCTTCTGTGGGGGAGTATGGATATTTTCTGGAACTGAACATTTTGAAATTTTGCTCCTTTCTTGAGTTAATTTCCTTTATTGGGAAGCAAATTTACCTTCCATTTGCATTAATTTAAGTAGTGTTAATTTCAAATATGTTATTTAACACGAGCGTTAAGTTCCTTTAATAAGGGTATGCTGTTCTAAATTCAAGTTATAACACACTGCACTCAGGCACGCTAACAAATATCAAACACCGAACATGTTTTCTTAATATAATTAACACACCATTGTTCACATAAGCCCCACACAAATCACCTTCTCCTGTCCAATCACAGCCAGAAATTATCAAAAAAAAAAAAAAAGATTGCCAACACTGAAATAACCAGATATGTTATTGCAGACTATAATTTGACAAAAATAACCTTTGTGGGGAAACATGTCCAAGAAGAAATATTAATGCATCTTCGGAAATTAAGGGGCAAGGGAACCCAATTTTAAAAGGACTTGTCTAATGCATTTAGTAAATAAGACTTATAGCTAAGCTTTAATTTAATTAAACTCGCTGTAGTAAAAGATTGAAGATCGTAGATAATGCGAAATTCAGACCTTACTTTGCATTCTATTAAAAAAATACAGAATTTTCATCATTACAAAGTATATTCTTAACTCTCAACTTGTAGTGACAGTTTTAAACAAGGTAAGTACCAAATAATGATCTATCCCGGGAAAAAATATAAGTTGCAGGTGCCAATGAAGAAGGATTGTTTTTCTTCAATTGAGACAGGAAATTTTACGGGTTGCTTTTCACGGGCTAAATGATTTTCAGAAGATGGTCCAACCCTCAAATTAATTTCTGGACCGAAAACCTTTCCACCTGAGCAAATAAATCTACCAGCCATAGAAACCACAATTTCGAAAGAAAACAAGATTCGAACCACAAATGAGAACTCCAGCATAACCTCATCGACAGAAACACTAGATAATCGAAGACGAGAGACCTTCGCGGGTCGCTAACCAACTGTATGAGCACGACAACTTCAAAACACAGATCAAAAACCGAAAAACTCCGTCTAATGCTTTTAAATACGACACAAAAAGAAAAGGACTGTGGAATTAACAAATTCATGATGAATTATAAGCAAAATTTGATGTTATACAACTGCAAATTTCACACGGCCACCTGGCATCATCCGGTCAGCGATTCGATAACAGCGCTGCTAACCTACGTCAAATGAAGCAAAACAGTTCTAAAAGCTTACGATCTTTACAACAACTATGGCTTACCAGAGTAGACAGCTACCATTACTGTGGATATTACTATAGCTGATGCCACTACGGTAACTCCGAAGAAAATTACCAAGCTTCTTCGATTTAAGCGTAGTGGCGAAGGACTTGAGTCACTCGACGCGAGAGTTTCATCTTCGTTCATAAGATGAACTTGTTCTTCCTTGCCAGTCGCGTCGGACGAGTAGCGACTTGCCATTTTTAGATCTTTCAGGAGGTCCTTTCTCCCTTAAGTCTTAGCTTTGATCCATTTACGAAGGGCAAAACACCATCACTCGTGATCACCAAAGAAGCTGTCGATATTGCTAGTGACTCCCTTGCGTCTCTCTCGAGTTTGTTTGCATTGTGAGACTGCTAGAAGACTCAGTCAGCGGAAACACTCACAACTCTACGTCATGACGTCATCACCTAGCAGCGGGTAACTGATTCTGAAAACAGTTTGATCGATCTCGATCCGGTAAAATTACACTCAAATTGCGTTATTGTAATTTTGTAAAAGTTCAAAGGCTTGATTCTTGTACACCGATGACGAATTTGTTTTCCTGTCGTGCCATGCTTGCCTATGTAAAAAAAAAGGTGCGATTTTGAGATGCCAATACCGCATTACATGGTCTTATATTGGTTCATAGTTGGGAGAAAAGATATTCCCCCGGGGGACCCAAAATAGCTGCTGTGATATCGGAACTCAAGATAGCAACCGCCGAAAAGAGATATTCATTAATACCTTTAAATGCAAAGGCCTTTAAAAGTTCGCTTCGCTTCTAGTAATATCAATTGTTGGTTTTCAGTGTCACGCAATTCAAAATAGATCAAAATAAAAATCAAAACCGGTCAATAGATAAAGTCCAGAATCTGGGAAATGAAAAGAGATAAATATGCAAAGACTCTCGCCAAAATTATGGTCACAGCAATTTTTCTTATGCGAGATATGCGGAGAAATTTTTTACCCC